CAGCTGGCCTTATTTGCATTGCTTACAGTCAACTGAATAAAAAAGGAAATACCATAGCCAGCTCTGTACCTATCAGTATGAAATAAGATCTAACTAATGTTGCAGCAATTGTTCTGCATTTCAGGAGAGATGCCCTTGTAGTCTTCTAAACACTTAATCCCAGCGTCACAGACCCTAATCCACCCACCATCAACACTCGCCACCTATGACCGACCGCATGAGGCTTCGGGAATACCTACATAGAAGCCATCCAAATATGGTAAATGTGACTCAATTTGCCATTGGGAGGTGGGGTCTTCTTGGAAGAAGTAGGTGTAGGGAGTATGACCTGGAAGGGTCCATGTCCTTTCCTGGGTCCTCCTCTCTTTTTTCTGGCCACCATGATTGTAAGCAGCTTTCCACTATCAAACCCTTCCACCGTGTCCTTTCCGCTTTGAAGCCAGCTCACTATGGAATGAAATCTTCTAAAGCCTATGAGCCAAAATAAACCTCTCTTCCTATAAATTGTTGGTGTCAAGTATTTCGATTCAGTGACAAGGAAGTGATAAAGACAAAGAGTGTCCTTCCACTGTGTTCTGGATGTTTCCCCAATAAATAAATAAACTCTCAAATGATTGTTTTCCAATATATAAAGTAACATATTGCCCTGACAACTTTCAATTTTTTTCTTTACTTCTGGTCTTTTAAGAATTTTACTAGTGTATTAGTCCATTTTTGTTACTATAATAAAATACCAGAACCTGAGCATTTTTTAATTTACTTAAATTTTCACAGTGCTGAGGAAGGAATCCAGGGCCTCACACATGGTAGGCAGCTTGGAGTATTTGACTTTCAAAAGGGGTTTATTTAGACTATTGTTCTGTGGGTTCAAGGGCATGGTATCATCAGTATCTGCTTGGCTCCAGTGAAGGCCTAATAGTGGGAACAGGTAAGAAGAAACCACATGGAGAGACAGGAAGCCAGAGTGGGGAGGGGCAGTCTTGTTCTCTTTATAATAACCAAAGAGCTAATTCAGGGTTCCAGGAGAGCAACCTCCGTCCCTGCCAAGGATGATGCTCCGGAGAACTGCTGACCTCCCTCCCACCAGGCCCGGCCTCCTGCAGTGCCCGGCCTCCCTCTGTACTCACACTGAGGAAGAACCCCCCAACACAGGACCCTCTAGGAATAAAACCCATCTACACCACAGCACCACGATGTGCCTGGGCGTCGTTTGTTTTGTATGTATTCTAGAGTGTCACGCAGTGTTTTGTGTAATACATGTCCCTCACCAAATTTTGCACATTTTCAACCATTATAGCTTCAATTACTTTTTCAGTGTCACTTGTCTTTTTTCCTTCCAGCATTCCTAATGCCATGTCCTTGGCTTAGAAAACTTTAAATGGAGAAAACTCCTTATTCCTTATTCCTAGCAATGACTTTTTTCCATAATGTTTCAAAAAAACTTTTTTTTGCACTCACAGTGTTTCAAGTAGCTCCTCTGCAAACACCACCCACACATACACACAGGTTAGAATTATGCTCTACAGGAGGTCAGTCACCAGAAGTGAACTCTGTTCAGGATGTTTAGAGGAGACTATTTATCACTCACCAACCACTCCTGCTCACTTCCCTTTAGCCTCCCAGGAAGTTCAGAGTTGGCAGAGAAGCAGGACTTCTTGTCTTGGTTACTTTTTTCTCCTTGCTGCAACAAAATACCTGATGCCCCAAATTAAGGAAAGGTTGATTTAGCTCACAACTCCTGGAGATTTCAGTCTATAATCAGCTGCCTCCAAAGAAGGGCAGCATGGCAGAGGGGCAACTCTTCAAGGTAGCACAAGACAAAAAAGCAGCCAGAGCAAAAGTGGAGGGAGGCAGAACGAGCCTCTTTTCCTCCCCTATAGGGTAAGGGGGCCGGGAGCTGTGGCTCTCACACCACCTCTGTGACCTCCTCTTGCATAGGCTGAGGATGTTTACAAAGTGAGGACCTTGGCTTCCTGCTGAAACCTTTAAACTTCTCCAGTTAACACAATGTATCAAACATTAGGCTCTCTACCTGAGAAGTTCCAGTCCCCAGTGGTTACACAATTTACTGTGTCAATCTTACTAAGAAATCAATGGACTAGTTTGTAAAATAGCCAAATCCTGAATTCACTCATTCTAAAAGTCCAAAGGATTAAGATTCCAGGGCCATTAAGAACAGTCAAAATGCCTGGATTAGGCTCAATTTTTCCAGGAAATAACTGTGTGACCTTGAACAAATGGCTTTCCTTTTTCAAAAACAACATACAAGGAGCCCCTCCTATCTTCGTGACACATGCCACCTGCGCCACAGGTTGGTTATATAGAGCAAAGGGGGCAGTACACATGAAGACTGCTCCAGACGGTCTGGCACAGCTATTCCCCTGCCACTCTGTAAAGGGTAAAGACCTAATAACAGTCCCCAAGGCTGGCAGTGCTAAGACCCTACGTAATCTATGAATGAGCAGTGTAAACCTAATTGGATGCTTTTCCAGAGACGGTCTACAAAGATGTGTGAAGGAAATGACCATTCAGCTAAATTCTGGGGTTGGAGGGCTGCTTTTCTTTCCCTAAGAACCCAAATGCTGAAGATACATATTTGTAAAATCCAGAATGAAACATAACCCAGTTTACTTTGGTCACTAGATACACTGTTCAGGATTCTTCACTGGCCCTTGGGAACTCTTCCAAGGGGAAACAGAAGCCCACAGTCAGCTGGGAAGCTGGATGATGTCACCTAAACTGAAGAATAGCCCAGGCATGAAGTAGCCATAGACTTACACAAAAGGAAGCTGTGCCCCACGTTCAGCAGGAATAGAAACCCAAGGCAGAGCTGCAAGGAAAGGTCAGCACAGAGCTGAGAGGCTGGCAAGAGAGGGGATGCCTGAGACCAGGGAGGGCAGGGTTGGCTGGATGCTTAGAGGGCCCCGAGAGGAGGAGGAGGCCAGGGAGTAGAGGGACAGGAGGAAACAGATGAAGCATGATTCGGCCTGCCCTGCCTCAGTGCCTTGGGTGTGAAATGAGCTAAATAGTGCCCACCCACAAAGCCCCGGTTATTTCCCCCCACTGTCACCAGGGTCCTGCTGCCTCTGTTTTATATTCCCGGGCAGGGGGAAGTAGCTGTGTATGGCAGGGTAAAGCCTGGGCATTCCCAGACCGGCAGGCTTGACCAGCCTGGATCTGCTCGCCCTGCATCCAGCTGCAACCCCAGCTGCTTCCCATCTCAACGGCACATTCAGAGCTTTGCTTTCTCGCTGTGCCAGTGGTACAGCCTCCTTCCGGTTCCTTTGGACACACCAAACTTACTTTCTTGGCCTTTCAGCCCAGAAAGATCTTGGTGCAGTCCATGCTTTCTCATTGTCCAGTAACATTATTTGCTCAAGTGTCATCTGCTTGGTGAAACAGTCTCAGGTCCTTCTCACCAAACAAAATCTATCACATCAATGTATTCTAGATTTCTCAAAGTTCTTACTACTCTTGTATAATTTGGCTCAAAAATGACCACTAAGGGCCGGGGATTTAGCTCAGTTTATAAGCGCCTGCCTGGCAAGCTTGAGGTCGTGAGTTTGATCCCAGGTACTCCAGAAAATAAATAAAAATTTAAAAATGACCACTAAAAGGTTTATGGGTTCAGAAGTGAGACTTTGAGGAAATGATTCCATCATGGAGCAATGGATTAATCTGTTGATGAGTTCACAGCCGAATGTGCTTCCCGCCTTCCATGAGTTGAGAAGCTTTTCTCTGCCACGCCCTTCCTACCATGCTGTCTCTGCCTAGGAGCCACCAACCATGGACTGAAACCCCTACCACTAAGAGTTAAATACACCTCTTCTCCTCTGACTTGTATATGTCAGCTATTTTGTCCCAGCAACAGAAAGGTAACTAATACAACTCTTCAAAGTTATCTTGTTTACCTGTATCACTGTGACTGTCACTCTTTCCCCCAGGATGCCTCTCTGCTCACTACAGTATCCCTGGTGCCCTTTAAAGTCTTACTAACTACTGATGCATGAACCAATGGATAGGATAAGGTGAGGGTTACACGATGATGTGTCTGTTACTGTTATTCCGCTTAAGTCTGATCCGCTTGATAAAGCAGTAAAAGTGGACATCCTGCCCCCAAATGAGCACAATAATCACTGATTTTTTCAAGAAAGCCATCTTTATTTCATCTAAAGGACAAGAACAGGACTCAAACAGATTCATCACCAATCCTTTCTAGGTACAGTCCGATAGCTTCATGCCAATCAGTCTCAACCTTCCTAAATTGGTGTCCTCATTTAAGAAATAATAGTGGGAGAAGGTAGGACTGGTGCGCACTCCGTAACTCTAACACTTGCGAGGGAGAGGCAGGAGGATCACAAATTAGAGGCAATTTAGACTTCAAATTGATAATCTGTCTCAAGAAAGAAAGAGGGGCTGGGGATTTAGCTCAGCTGCATAAGTGCGTGCCTTGCAAGCAGGCAGTCGTGAGTTCGATCCCCGGTACCGATAAAAAGAAAAAAGACAAAAAAGAAAGAAAGAAAGAAAAACAAAGCCAGGTGTGGTATCTCCCACCTGTAATCTCAGGCTGAGGCAGAAAGATCACAAGTTCCGGCCCAGTGTGGACAATTTAGTGACTTATTAAGTCCTTGTGTCACTCACACACACACACACACACACACACACACACACACACACAGAGTCTCTTTAATGGATTGGGGATGTATCTTAGTGTGTTTAATCCCTGGGTTTAATCCCCAGTACCACCAGAGAAGGGAGAAGGGAGAGAGAAAAATTGAGTGGGGGTCTGGGGATATAGCTCAACAGCACAGCACTTGCCTAACAGGTAGAAGGTTCGATTCCCAGCAACCACAAAAAACAAAGATCTGCAAGAAAAGCAAAGCATGTAACGCACCCACTAGTTGCTGGGTTAAATCTCTAATTAGAAACTTCCACCTCCTGCAGTTCTTGCCTGCCTCCTACAGGCAAAGCTAAGGACCTAGACAGGCAGAAGCTGCTGACCTAAACAGTCACAGCTCCTGGAGGGCCAGACGGGCAGGGGTCTTCCTCCACGGGGATGCACAGACCAACTGATGGCCCAGGAAACCTTCCTCTGCCCTTATGTTTCTATTTCTTTTATCAGTACCGGGGATCGAATTCACGACCGCCTGCTTGCAAGGCAGGTACTTGTGCCACTGAGCTAAATCCCCAGCCCTGTGTTTGTATTTCTGAGACAGAGTTTCGTCATGCAGTTCAGGCTAGCCTGGAATTCACTATGCAGTCTAGGCTGGTCTCGAACTCGCTAAGTTCCACAGCCTCGCTCGTGCCGGGTTACAGACGTGCGCCCCGCGCCCGGCCGGCCCGAGCAGCTCGGAACTGTGACGCCAGCAGCTTCACTCGGAACCGCGCGCGGCAGGCACGACCTCGCCGCGCTGACGCCACCCTGGCGCGGGCGGCAGGATACACCGACAGCCACGCGGGGGAGAACCGCAGGGCTGGGAGGGGCGCCGGGGCGCCAGCTCGCCGGGCTCCCCACTCGCCCGAGGGGAGGCCCCAACGGTCCCGGGCCTCCAGACCGTCAAAATCAGCGGAGACTGTCTCGGGAAGAGGCCCCAGCGCCCGCCCGGTTCCGGGTGAGCCAGAACCTTCGAGCGATGCGCCCACCCCGGCAACCCGCCTTTTCTCAGAAGCCTCGGCTTTCCGGGCTGGAGCCCCCGCAGCGGGAAGCGCCCGGCAATCGCCGACGTGCCGTCAGGTGCGTCACTCCACTTCCGGGCGCCGCCCGCTGTGCGCCTGCGCCCCGCGCCGGGCGGCGGGTCTGGGCAGCGCCCTCTGCAGACGCGCCTAGAAACCTAAACGCGGCGGAGAGACCATAAAGGTGTCAGGTACTGCAGCTCAGTCTTTGTGAAAGTGCGCGATGCGATGCAGATCCCTGTAGCGATGTGAGTGTGGGGGTGAGTACTGAGAATGCACTGACTGAAAAATGCCGCACTCAAAAACATACAGATAAATTAAGAACTGCTTTTGGCTGGGGGTGTAGCTCAGCGGTAGGGTGCCTGCTTAATGTACACAATGGGCAGGGTTCAACCCCCGGGATATATAATGAAAAAGAAAAAGAAAGAATTGCTTTTAATTAGAATAGTACTAGCAAAATATGTTGGGGGTGGCAGGTACATATAAGGCATATTCCGAGTCACCAGAGAATTGATTCCCTACAAGTTGACTTGCATTTATTCACTTACTCATTCAATTTTTCCACAATTTTTTTTGCTTTTATTATTATTTTATGGTCCTGAAGATTGAAGCCAAGCCCTTGCATGCAAGTGCTCCAACACTGAGCTTCACAGTATTTCTTGTGTGCCTAGTAAATAAAATACCAAGCACTCTTGTTAGTAAAACCAAGACAAGGCATTCTCACCTGGGAGTGACAGTTATGAAACACATAAGTATATGTAAAAATGGTGTTGAGTGCGATAAAGGAAACAGGTTTTCAAGGGCCCTGATTTAGGAAGGATGGTCAAAGATGGCCTCTCTCTGGAGCTGATTTGAAGCCAGAAACAAAAATCTGACACAGAACTAGTTGGGAACAAAGAGAAATTCCCAGGGGCACAGAGTTCTCAGTTGAGGCACTTAGTGGAACTGCCTCTGATTGTACCCACTTCTCATTATAGGCAGCTAAAGCAGATAGAAATTAATGGACAGAGAGGGACATGGCTCCCAAGGAAGTCAGCCCAAAGATACAAACACTGAACTTGTGATGGGAGGTGCAGCTGAAGAAGGCCTCAAGATTCAGTGGCCAGACCTACGTGCCTCCCTAAGGGATAAGCAGTAACTTGAGATTATACTGTAATTAACACCACCTGGTCCAGAAATCCAGCTAGCCATCCCTGGCAGGTGGGTGAGCAGAGCGTCTAGACTCGTCCCTTCCCCAAATTTGCCTTTGTTCTTTTGTGTACCCTTGCTATGGCCTAGTCCCTACTGGATCAGTGTTAACTAGGTGGCTGTACTTGTAATCTTACAGGTTGGTGATAGTTTGACCCATTGTGATTTTGCTGACAAAGGCTTTTCGTGGCCACCCATTTGGGAGCCCACCTGGAAATCCAAGAGCTATTCTTTTCTTCGTATTTTCAATAAAACTCTCATAACTTCTTCCTTTGCTTTGTGACTTCATTCCTCGATGACATAGGACAACGAATTCAGCAATTTGACATCGAGCACGTGGGAAATTGTATTTCTCCTTTATCATTGTCTAATGTATTGTCTGCCCACTTAGCATTAAGATTCTAGCAATAATTTTGTCCCCATCATCCTATAATAAATGAGAATCAACAAGAATGTCATCATCAATGAATATAATTATTATGCTAGTTTAAGCTGTTTTTCTTGAAAGCTGCTGACATAAGTGTTTCAGAGTATTTGGGTCTGCATGGCAGAGAGAAAGGAAAGATAAATCCTTACCCTATAGTTCAGCAAGCACAGGAAAGAATGTTTCGTTTTATGGTACTGGGGATTAAAACCAGTTTCCAGGTCCTTTACACTGAGCTACCATTCCTAACCTTTTTCTAAATTGAAACAGTCACTAAACTGTCAAGTTGACCTGAAACTTGTGACCGTCTTGCCTCAGCATCCCAAATTAGTGGGACTACAGGATGTGCCAATTTGCCAGGATAGGGAAGAGACAATCTATTAAGAATGGTCCTTAGCTTCCAGCCTAGCTGTTCAGAAATTTGGGTAGCTGAGTCACTGGGTGTTGTAGTCAGGGTTTAGTAGGAAAAGGATTTAACACAAGACATAATTTATAGGATTATTTTATAATATTCTCCCAGAGTCAAATACAGATTGCAGAAGATCTGTCCACACACCAGAGACCCGAAGAAGAACCCTGTTGAGGGCCTAGATCCCACAGCAATGTCTTGCACAAGTCCAGCTGTTGATCTAGAGCCCACGGTGATGAGTCCAGCTGAAGGCCTAGAGCCCACAACAATGTCTCTCTTTAAGTCTGTATCAAGGATCTGCACTGGGAAAGCCCAAAGGCCTGTAGTGGAAGCTAAAAAGTCTGTGTCAGCAGGATGAAGGGTCAGTGCCAACAGGCTGAGCGATCTGCACTGGAGCCAGAAAGGGTTGTTCAAGGTAAGGATCAGAGCTGCCCCTAGAGAACCTCAGTCATACTCAGTGGTTGTGATACAGGGGAACGAGACTCCCAACCTACTATGTCTGCGAGTTTATGTTCTCTAAAGTCAAAGAATGAATTTTAGGAACAACAGAGGTGAAGAGTAGAATATATTTGAAAGAAGAAAAGCTTCTGCCTGAGGAGAGACAGAGAGAGGGTCCCGAGTGGGTTGCCAAGGACTCTGTCTTTTCCAGGGACTTTTATAGAGTGAAACCTTGGGTTTAAGGCAGGGGAAGACTGGGAACTCCCAAAGCCGATGGGCGTAAGGTGGGACACAACTATAGTTAGCCAATAAGATCAATAGTTCAAGTAAAATTGATTACATTGGGGACAAATGGGGGAGTGAGCCATGTAGAAAGCCGGCATGCTTAAGGAACAGTGACTCTTCCCTAGGGTTGGAATGGTGACTCCTGACTTCAAGGTGATCCAGACTTAAGCGCTGAGGATTATACTTAATGGTGTGGTTGCATTTGTTTTGCCTTCTGTCTTGAGATCAGACCCAGCAAGAAGTGTGTGTCCCCTCCAAGGTCATCAGACACCTGGTCCTCTGTGCCAGCTTCCTCGAGGGCCTAGGCCTGTCTGACTGCCTGTAATATTTGTAACTGGCTCAGCTGCCTTTAACAGTAGCGAGGACCCAAACGTCTCTGATAGTGAGAACAGCTGAGTTCCTATCAGGAAAGCCATCATGATAAGCTTCTCCAGGAGAATCAACAACACCATCTTTCTCGCCAGTTCTCTTTTTATGCTGTTGACAACAATCCTCAGGTGGCCTTCCGCACCCAGCACCAAGGTCACTCAGTTCAGCTGTATGCAACAAGCTGACCATTAGTTAATCCACCACGCTGGGGAAGTTCTAACATTAAGGTAAAAGGACTACTACCTTCCTAACTAAAAAAGTCAATTTTGTTTTAGAATTGGACTTCTTAAAGGGTAATAAGCATATGAGTCATCTCAGATCTTTTGAAAATACAGTAGGAATTGGGCATGGTGATACACACCTGTACCGCAGCACTCAGGGAAACTGAGGCAGGACACACACCTGTACTACAGCACTCAGGGAAACTGAGGCAGGACAGTCACAGGCTGGACAGTTTAGTATTTAGCAAGTCTCTGTCCCCCCCCCCAAAAAAAAAAAAAACGGCTATGGATATAACTCAGTGAGAGGACTCTGGCTTCAATCTCAAGCATCACGAAAACAACAAAAGCACAGTGGGGAGGAATAGCTGGATTTCCAGCAGGGCTCCAGGTAAGGAAGGCGAAGCAGCAGAGCCAGAACAGTGAGGATTTGGCAAACAGATGAGAAGTAGCCAGGAGGAGAGCATGTTTCCTCAGCGGACTGTTCTGTGCTGTTCTCGCCTGCGGCCTCCCGGCAGCACCTGCCCCACCTAGAGGAAACATCCTCACACACTGTGAAGTTGCTGGGAGGCTGCAGGCTGTTGGGAAGAGTTGGCCTGGGGGTGGGGAGGAGGTGGCCAGGGAGATGCCCACACCCAGCATAGTATCTTTTGTTTTAAAAGAAAAACAAATAACATGAGTGCCATATATCTTTTGTTTAAAAGAAAAATAACATGAGTGCCGTAGATTTGCCACCCCAGGTCTACACCTTTGATGTACAACTTTAGTTACAATGTATCAGTTCCTGGAAAGTTGACAGGGAACAGGATGCCTTGGAAAATGCATTTCTAAGTATCTCCATTTGCGGACTGAGACCTTTCCCTACATCTAGAGTCACCAACTCACCAGGCATGGTGGCACTGGCCTATAATCCCAGCACTTGGGAGGGGGACAAGGTTGCATCCAGCCTGGGTAATTTAATGACTTAGTGAGAGCCGGTATCAAAAATAAAGGGGCTTGGGATGTAACTCAATGTCTTTGGGCCCAGTATTATAAAAAACAATGCTTCTTTCCTTGACAGATGCCTGTCTTGGAAATTCAAGTTCCCATGATCTCTCTTGATAGAGTATCGATTTGAATAAACTCTCATCTTTTCTTATTCTGATCAAGGTAAATTATTTTTACCACTTGTGTCATCGTCACTGGCCTATGCAAGGCCATCTCTCATGGTCACTGACAAAGGCCCCTGCTCCCAGCGCTCCAAGTGAACGTGTCCTGTGTCCTGCAAAGGCAGGGGTGGGGGAGGGCAGAGTCCAGGAGCAGGAAGGCCAAAAAAGGCTCTGGGGATCGTCAGGGGAAGTGCCACCTCCCTCCCAGGCAGAACCACCTCCTCAGTCATTCTTCACCTTGCCAAGGGCTTGTGAGGTTGGGCATGGTAGGGAGTGGGGAGGATGCCCACAGAAAGAAAGGGAGCAAAGGGACAATGAAAAGTTAATATTTAATTGGTACAAAGTTTCTAAAAATGGGGAGTGGTGATGGTCCCACAGTATTATGAATGTACTTAATGCCACTGAGCTGTAGTCTTAAGTCACAGGCTTTCACCATAGAAGAGCACAGGTTTCCTGGAACGACCCTGCAGCTGTGCATGTAAGACCTGCACCACGTCAGCAAAGCCCACTCAGCCCCCTGAGTGTGGTTTCTGGAAAGCGGAGGGATGCATGAGGGCACACTCCACCGCCTCGGGATTTGACACGAGTAGAAAGGCCGAGACAATGAAAAAATAAAGGGCTCCTTGATTCAGTTTAAGAACCAAAGCTGAATGTGCCAAGCCGAGAGAACAAGAGGAGAGAAGGACACAGCCATCTGTTCTCAGCCTCCTGGAGCCCACTCTGGCTTGGGTCAAGTCTGCATGCCCAGTGTGGTGCTGTGCCTCCCTGGGAGTGGGAGTGGGCTCATCTCAGCTACAACTGGACTTGGAGCTCGGGCTCTAAGCTTGAGCAGATCTGAGACAACCTGAGAGGCCCTTTGCTTGTTCTATGGTGAACAGCCCACCATTCAAGCATAAATGTAACCTGAAAAATATGTTAGTGCAGGAGCTCGTGCCCTAGAATTCATGGACAGGATCAGAAAGGCCACAGAAAAATGTGTGCTTCTGGGGCAGGCCTATGACTTTGGCCAGATTCTCAAAGTGGTAGAGGATGTCAAAATAAAATTGAGAACTGTGAAGGGCATCAATTCCAGAACCACATCACATTGGACCCTGTGAACTCAAAGTCAGTCATTTTGTGCTTCAGATTCCCCTCCACTCAGCTGGTGACAGGGCTCCCAGGTGGAGTAATTTCCTAGGATGCACAAGGCACCAGATTCCAATCCCCACACTGAAGGAAAAAAGAAAACCACATTTAGAGTTTCCTCTACTACTAACTTTAATTTAGTTTCCAGGGAGAAGCACATCTTTTTTTGTTTGTTTGTTTTTTTGTCTTTTTTGAGACGGGGTCTCTCTATGTAGTTCAGGCTGGCCTTGAGCTCACTTTGTAGTCCAGGCTGGTCTCGAACTCAAAACGATCCTCCCACCTCAGCCTCCCGAGTGCTGGGATTATAGGCGTGAGCCACCAGGCCCAGCTCTGAGAAGTACATCTTTTTAAGACTAGCCTGAGCTTCTAATTCTGGCCATTATCAGGTTACTCAGAGGCTAAGGCAGAAGAATCTCTTACACCCAAGATCTCTGACCAGTCTGAGCAACCATAAGAAGACCTCCATCTCTTCAGAGAAATTGATACAGGGAAATGAAACTCCCAAGTTGGTGTTCTCTAAAATAAAAGAATGAATTTTAGGAACAACGGAGGTTAAAAGCAGAAATATTTATTGTGAGAAAGAAAGCTTTTGTCTGGGAAAGAGACAGAAGGGGTCTCGACTGGGTCGCCAGGGATTGTCTTTTGTAGGGATTTTTATGGAATAAAGTCATGAGGTGAGGTGGGTCTAAAGTTGGGGAAAATTGGGAACTTGCAGGGCAGATGGGCATGAGGTGGGACAGAGCTATGGTTAACCAATAAGTTTAATTATTCAGGTAAAATTGACCAAATCAGGGACAAAGGGGCAACCGAGTCACCTAGAAAGCAGGCATTCCCTTCCTATAGGGGGTTGGGATGGTGACTCTTGGTCTCTGAAAGTGATCCAGACTTAATCCCTAAGGATTATATTTAAAGGTGTGGTTGCGTTTGTTTTGCCTTCTGTCCTGAGATCTGGCCCACAGCCAGAGGTGTGGTCTCCCCAAGGTCACCAGAACTCTGTGCCAAGTTCTTAAGGGCCTAGCCCTGTCTGACTGCCTATAATATTTCTAACTAGCTCAGCTACCTGTAACAAAATGGCATGGAGTGAGGATCTAGCTTAGTGGTATAGTGTTTTCCTAGCAGGCCCTGGGTTCAAACCTCAGTATCACCAAAAAATAAGAATTAGTAGGAAACCTTTTGTTAAGAGACAGCTTTTTTGCCTTTGGCTTGGAGTCCATACAGAAAGACAGGATGAGCTCAGTGGCTCGAGGCACAAGTATCCCTCATCCCAAGGTGACAGCCAACAGCAGTGTGTGCAGGGGACTGAGATGAACACGAGGAGAAAGGAGAGGAGGGGGAGGGGAGCCGAGCGAACAAAGACAGGACAGGTTTCACTGCCACAGAAAGCATGTACCTCAATAGTATTAATGCATCTTCCCAATATTGTAAGTGTGGGGTTTCCATTTATAGAAGGAAATAAAATAAAAATGGACAGTGGTCTAGGGATAGTCTACTTATAAATACATAAAATAACTTCTCAACATTCCTTCTAGGAGCAAAAAGCGAGGTCGCTGGGGTGCAGGTAGTAATTTGTTCATAGGTCCTGCATGCTGTTTGCATGAGTTTAGTTTGTAAAAAATCACGAGGCTGTACCCTGACAGTGTGGGAACTTATGTAAGTATTTTATACTTTTAAATTTTTATCTGATTCTTTTGTTTTGTTTGTGCAGGACACTTTTAATATTTAAACTTTAAAAGAATTTCCAAGCAAGTGGTTTTGTTTTGTTTCATTTCTTTTGAGATCGGGCCTTGCTGTGTACTTCAGGCTGGCCTTGAATTTACAGTGATCCTCCTGCCTCAGCCTCCCAAAGGCTGGGATTACAAGTGTGTATCACCATGCCTGGTTTAAAAATTTTTTTAAAATCCCTTCTACTGTACAGATTCCGCTTCAGAGAACTATCCATTTCTAATTAGGGTGCTAGGATTAAATGCATACTGGCAGGGAGAACTGGAAAAACAATTTTTGGAGGGGTGGGTACAAGGTACAACTCTGTAATTCAGGCTGGTCTTGAACTCACTGTGTAGTGCAGGCTGATCTCAAATTCATGACAATCCTCCTGTCTCAGCCTTCCAAAAGCTGGGATTATAGTCATGGGCTACCACACCTAGCTAGAATTAGAATTGTAATCCTTTCTACTTATTAATTATAAAGAAAATTTAAACCTGACCCATCAATTTGCTTGTTCTTGACCACAGGAGGAATGTGACCTGGGGACTGCCACTGAGTCACTGGCCTGGGAATGGCTCAGCAGCACCCACTGTCGGGTCCTCCTGATGGGACCTAATGACAGCTGCAGCTGCCAGCTTCTCACATCCCAGTGAATGGATTCAAGATGGGGCTGAACCTGGTGTTTACTCAGATTCCTGATTTCCTCAAAGAAATGCCCACCTAATGGACTTGCTGTAGCTACCACCCTTGATTCCTAAACCTAGAAAGGCCGCTTAGAAAGGAAACCATGGTTCTTGTTCCCTAAGAGTATTAGGACAGCACTGCCATTTGAGCTCCTTGGACAAAAAATGCTTTGGAAATGTGAAGCCTCTCAAAATTCCTCTACTGGCCAAACTCCTTGTAAGAAAGTGATACTCCTTGACCACACAAATATTGTCTGCTGCTCTCTCCATTCCATTCTGCAGTAGATTAGTGCTCTACAAAAGCACTGTAAATGGGGCATGGTGGTGGAAGGACTTTGGCCCAGTTGGGACACTGTAGCTGGTGTAAAGCCTTGGAGGTGGAACCAGGGGGCTCTATCATCCCCACCCCTAGGAATTTACCTGTGGTGCGAAATGAATTACTAATGCCCCTCAGGCACCACCCCAAACCTAAGCTACATGTATATCCCCACACCACATGTCCAACAGAGAGATTGCCAGACCCCAGAGGGTCGGGGGTCTCTCCCCGCATTTTTAAAATAAAGGTCATTTATACTTCATACTTCTTATCTTTTCAGTCACACCACAATTCCATCAGTGGCACATGCTATGATCCCAGCATTCTGGGAGGCTAAGGCAGGAAGACTGAAAGTTCAAGCTCAGTTTGAGCACTTTAGTGTCTTAGCAAGACCCTGTCTCAAAATTAAAAATAATAAAGAGATCTAGAGATGTATCTTTGTGCATGTTGTACCCCCCCCCAAAAAAAAAAAACCAACCCCATGATGTCTGTTGTCAAGAAGGGGGCAAGACGTCTTTTAAAAAGAAGCACTTTTATTTAAGCTGGTATCCAATGGCACAGTGCAGATGGAGTTTGCAAAGCTGTGCAACTGGGTTAGAATTTTGACAGATTTTTATAGTTCACTTATGATTAGCTCACTCACCACTTAAGTACATAGCAATGAGAAACAGAAACAAGGTGGGCCTTTGTTCCCCTTTGCTATGGTCAGAGGCATTTCACAGTGGGTGGTTAGCCAATTCAAAGCCCTTGGTTTGCCAATTCCAGGAACATTTGTCTCTCACAAAGGGAACAATGGTTGACACAGCAAACAGGTTACTAAGGTGAAGACATACAGAACAGCACAGGCACATGGTCAGTTAATCTATAACTGTGGTTGGTGCTAGGTAAGGAACCCAGCATAGAATGCCAGTACTGCTAATAACTATCTTTTTAACTATTTTAGTTTTTTTGAGCATTTTAGTCAAAGGCCCTCTGGGTTTAATCCTCAGTACCACACAATAAACAAAAACCCATTTTCCTGAAGGAACCACTAACATTGGCAGTGTAGAGGGAGAATCCTGAGAATGTGTAGCTCAGGACACTCGGGGTGTTGCTGTACAGACAAGCGTAGAGGGCACCTGGAAGATGGTACACATGCTTTTCTACGTGTATAATACTCCACAGAACAAACTGGAGGATTCCATGATGCAGCTTCACTCACAGGACAGAGAAGGAATCACAGAGATAGGTACAGAGATGGGCTGGCACTGTGGTAGCCACTTTGATTTTTTTTTATTGTATTAAATATAACACAAATTTTACCATTTTAAGCGGCTAAGTGTACAATTCAGTAGCAACCATCATTACAACCCATTTCCAGAACCTCTTTGTCAACCCTGCCCAAAGAAATTCTGTTAATTTTTTCTGGTACTGGGGAGCAAACCCAGGGGCAGTCTACCACTGAACTACATCTTTAGTCCCCACCCTCATTTAAAATTTTAAAATAAGGTCTTTCCTGCTAACTTACTCAGGCTGACCTCAAACTTGAGATCCTCTTGCCTCAGACTTCCAGAGTGCAGGAATTACAGGCTACAGTCATCATGCCCATCTATTGTTTTATGTGCTTGATGTTACCACTCCTCAATACCAGCCTGAAAAGTTACACCCAATTTCCAGGTGAGAAAACTGAGGCTCATACAGCTGCATGAGTCATGTGGCCAGTAAACAGCTGAGCTCCCACAGAGCAAGTCATAATAACTCCTCCACTTTCCCCAATGCATCGAGGAAAAGATCTATGTTCTCTGAATGGTCATTTCCTTCAACAACCAAACAAAGATCTCTAAGCAACTGCAACACAAATGTATCAAAAAAGACAAGCACCACAGGTCTGACCGAAATCACTCATGCCCAATCCCAATAGCTCACCCCTGCTTCCTCCCAGCTTCTGCCACCAGCCTGTCAGTGAGCAGGTTTGTGGCCACCTGGAACAGATTCGGTCCCAGGAACAAAAGCATTTGTCATCCCCCCACTGCCAACATATGCTACACAGTCACCGTCTCCTCAGTGACCACAGGGCCCTGGGATGAGTACCGCTGATGTCCTTTTCACCTCACCAGTATTTTTATTTAAGCTCAATTTAAATTGCCGGTTAAGTGTCTTTTGGTTTGTTTGGTTCTAGAGATTAGACCCAGGGCTTCTCACAGGCTGAGCACAAGATTCTGTAAGAGATCACAGAACAGACTTCTGGGAGCCTCCGGCCATGGCCTTTCCCTTCCTTCTTACCCAGTGGGAACTGCAAAGGGTAAAGCAGATAACCACAGCCTGACCCCTTGCTCTCCTTTCTCCCCTCTGGAAAGTGAGCCTAGCACTCTGTCCAGTACAAGGTTTATAAGCTGTCTGCTCCAAATAGGCATTAATTAATATAAAGTATTAAGAAATCACTTGCTAGCAAGAAGAATCACTTCCACCCTGGCCTTTTTTTTTTTTTTATCCGTACCAGGGATCGAACTCAGGACTGCCTGCTTGACCGCCTACTTGCAAGGCAGGCGCTTATGCCGCTGAGCTAAATCCCTGGCCCCCACCCTGGCCTTTGTCCCTTCTGTTTATTGCTTTTTTAAAAATTTTATATATTTTTAATTTTGAGCCAGAGTCTTGCTAAGTCGCTAAGTTGCCCAGGCAATCTGCAGTCCTCTTTCCTCAGCCTCCAGTGTGCTGGGATCATGGATCTGTAGCAACACACCTGGCCCTCATTTTCTTAATTACTTCACAACCCAGGTGACAAAGTCAAGTGGCTCTTAGCCCTGCTAGATCACTGCTGAGAAGTACAGCCTAGAAGTTGCTTTTGGAAACCATTAACGTCCTGTAAAGGAAAGAATGGATGTGTGCTGGGGTGGGTGCTGCGGCCGCACTCTGACAGGGGAGCCCTGTCAAAGCTTATCTGTCACATCTGCTGCTATTAGTGTGTTGCGTCTCCTGTCAGTTTCGCATTTGCTTCAGGGCAAGGCGTGTCTTTATTCCCATTGCACATCTAGCAGTTTGCAGAACTGCCTCACAGTGATTGCTGCATTTATACTTTTGAACGATCTAATTAAGAAAATCAGTTCTACCAGGGTTTGTTTTTTGGTGAGGGTGGGGGGTGTTGAGGCTCAAACCCAGGCATTGATCATGCAGGGAAAGCACTCTACCACTGGGTTATACTTTCAGCCTTAATTCTGATAGTAAAAAAAAATGTCCCTTTTGAGACCCAGTTGCCCTGGGGCAAGTATTTTAGAAGATCACTTTTTTTTTAAGCCAGGTGTGGTGGCACATGACTGCAATCCCAGCACTTTGGCAGACTAAGGCAGGAGGATAGGGTTAAAGTCCAGCCCGGGGAACTTGACAGTTTAGCAAGACCTTTACAAAGGCCGGGGAGGTAGCTCAGTGTGAAAGTCCTGGGTTCAATTCCCAATTTAAAAAAAAGTCATCTCATAATAGAAGTAAAAGCCTTGAGGACAGAAAAAAGAGATGGTTAAGCTGCCCGCATGGAAGAAAATGAGTGGTTTGGCATTTGGGAGGGAGTATGTCAGTTTCTCTTGGGTTTTGTCCCCACCCTCACCTGCCTGCTGGGAAGACCAGGAGGGGCTGAGGAGGAAGCCGGGAGGACAGCAGCAGCGGGCTGCTTGGGAGGCTCCTGAGAAGTCACAGGAGAGACACCTTCCGAACGACACCCAGAGGTCAGCCCCCAGCTGCTGCCGCGCTGCCATCCATCAACACACCTTCTTCCTGACTGCCCTCCGTGACTAGGTGAATGTAAACACGGGTGGAAACGGGCAAGGTTTTGGGTTTTCTCTGAGGTTCTGTGCTGGCCTTCTCTGGGTTTCCTGGGGACAGAGAGCCCAGCAGACATGCATATTACAGAAACAGTATCTGCACAGGTTGCTGGAAGGATATTTTGTCTATTTCAGGTCATTTTCTGGAGTGCTTGTTTTCTTGAAATAATCACAGGATTAGAGGCCATAGGCAACACTTAAGAGTGTCTCATTATCAGATACCAAAAAAAAAAAAAAAAAGATTTTTTCCTCTAGAATATTTACATTTACTTAAAAATGATTTTTTTGTTTGTTTGTTTTGTTTTTGTTTTTGTACCAAGAATTGAACTCACGATCTTAAGCTTGCTAGGCAGGCACTGTACCCTAAGCTATGTCCCCAGTATGATGGTGAATCTTACAGCTAATGCTATCCCCCTTCATTCTGGTTGCTAGCTGGAGCCCAGCGGTACAGGACTTGATGACACTTAGTTTGCATGTCTGCTCCTGCCTTGTCCTGCTGTCTCCTTTGCATGTTTGGCCACAGGGTTCGGGTGCGGTACCAGGAATTGAACTTGGGACCTCAGCCCCCACCTCAGTAATTTCTGAAGGAGACTGTGCTACACAGACCTTTTTAAGAGCTGCTACCAATAATTTTTCGGGCAGGGCAGAGAGTAAAGAAAAAGAAATTTACAAGCTTTCAATTTACGTTATCTGTAATGCCCATGCCAGTGTGCTCTTTATTTGAAAGAGTGGCAGCAGAAGATAAGCTATTGCCCTCCTGCAGAGAGGCGGGAAGCATACACCACTCCCTTCACAACTGCCTAAGAAGTCCTGGCGGCCCCTTTTAGCACAAGAATTCACAGGTCAGTTTTTCAGATCAAAATCACATTAACTCACCCACACATATGTGCACACAACACACATGTGCAGTTTGTAAAGTGTAGCCAGACTGGCCTCAGAAGACCCATTAGCTCCTAGCCACACAATTTAGATAGAACTCCCATAGCTTTTCTCAGGTATATATGCTTATTTCTCCAGTGTTTTTCTTATAAATTGTCTACACATAACACATGAGTACTTCCCTATCCTGTACTTACATTATGTTTGTCTCTATGAGAAAAATGTTTATTAGAAATTAAATATGCAAACATTGGGGTAAATATTCAGGTACTTCAATTAGTGCTAAAGTTCCTCATCCACAAGTTTCCTCCCAGCCCAGCTACCTCCTGGAGTTACTGTCACCAGCCCTTCAAGGCTCTCCTGTGGGCTCTTGCCAATATGTACGTATCTACAGGAATATATTTTCTTATGATTGAGGTTTTGTGTGTGTGTGCACATGCACACGTGCCCATTCTGTTTGCTTGTTTGGCTAGTTTTTTTTAGATTGGGTCTTGCCATGTAACCATATTGGCCTCAGTCTTCCAGTGATGGGATTAATATAGTTTTTATGTGTGACTGTGTCTACTACAGGTCATGCTGTTGTACACTTTGCTTTTTTTACTTAAAAATGTTTCTGAGAGGACTTTTCTCTCTCCAGTGGAAAAGCTCTTCTCCATATAGACATCTAGACAGCAGCTTTTTTTTTTTTACTTTTATTTTAAAGGGGGTAAAAGTAAACAAAACAAAATAGGACATAAGAAAGCAATGTAAGAGACA